TTTATATTATTCTTATAAATATAAACTTTAATTAGCAATAAGATAATCAAACAAAAATAAATATAATACAAGTTTTAAAACAAGTTTTAAGAAATAATAAATATGTTGCGGCTGATGCTGAAATCGACCAATGAAATTAGAGAATAAACGATAATAATTTTCTAATCATAAATTAAATCAATTTTATAATTTTATCTTGGTTATAAATAAATGAGAACCTAATGCTTCTATTCTAAAAGTTAAAGAAAATTTATTTACTATGTAATGACCGTTCTTATGAATTAAAGTGCTCGAAAAACTTCTTTGCCCGCAAAGTCATTAAGGAACAGTTACTAAATGGTTACGGACCGAAAAGAGAGTAGATGTGAAAAATCATTATACATATGCGTGAAGGAAAGAACTTGATTAGAAAAAATCATACCTGTTAAGCGAGACTCTTATATAAAACACTATCTAATTCTTTCTTCAATAAACCATTGGAATAACAGGTCGACGCAAAGTCATTCCAATTGGACGTGTCGCCTTTTTTATCCTTCCAATAGGCTATCTTGACCATCTCGGTGTGCCACGTTAAAGTGTTCAAAAATTTCCAACAATACATAACATCCAACAGCTCTTTTATCTTTTCGCAAAAGCTTTCATAACCTTCCATCGGAAAGTCCCATTGAATGACGCCGTATTCAATCATTAATTTGAAATCCTCTTCACATGTGCACATACTCAAATATAAATTTAAGGCTGTGTGAAGATATGCAGCTTTTCCGGAAACGATCTCGTAAATGAGGAGGTTTTTTAAGACCTTGAAGTAAAATGGATCGAGAGTAAGGGTTGTATAGTAATAGATCTTCCCCAAGGGGTCCATGAAGCAACAGTACGCCCCATTGATAACACGTTTCAGTGGAATTTTATGGCGTACATATTCTTTGAATCCGAAAGGTATAAAGCTCGAATCTCTGTGGCTGGCTTTGTCAAAGGACTTGTATTGTCCAGCCGCTTGACGATAAAGATTTTCCACATATGTAACTTGAGTATCCAAAGGTTGTATTGCGCCACCAGAAACTAGAAAAGGTGAAGCTCCTATAAGAATACTATAATAGGGAATA